TGTGTGTGCATGTGTGTGTGTGTGTGCATGTGTGTGTGTGTGTGTGTGTATGTGTGTGTGTGTGGTGTGTTGAGTAGAAGCAGAAGCTCACCTCCCTCACCTCGGGATGCACAGGAAGGCAAATAGAAGAAACACATCGCCAGCGTGCGGTCCGGCTCAGTTTAGCAGCAGGGGTCCTATCTGCTCTCAAGGCCCTTTCTAGCCAAGCTAAGAAACCTTGTGACACATCCCACCACTGTCACTCCTTCCCTTCCGGGACTCCCACCGACCCTTTTTGTCTCCCCAGAGCGCCCGAGCAGTACAAACATTAAGCAAACACCAACTGAGAGCTTGAAGGTTTGAACCCGCCCAGAGGTACCTGAGGAGACAGGCCCAGAGATGCTTCTGAAAGTTCACAGCTTGGAAAGCCCGATGGGCCACAGCGCCACTGGCCCATGGGGGTCACTCTAAGTCTGAGTGGACTGTGACCACCACCACCTAGCCTCACCCTCCGTTTCAAGCCCCATCCTCAGCCTGCAGAGCCTCGATTCCGAAGCCCAGCACTTCCCCAGAGAGCCTCTGCTCTCTTCTGGCCCGGCTCCCCACACTCATCTCTGCCTGTGCCAGGCCTTGGGCACCGAGCAGTTCTGGCTCCGGTCACTGGCTAGTCTGTGGAGTGTGTAAATCTTCTCTCTTCACTCCACATGTCAATCCCTAGAAGGCAGGGCCTACTGAACAAGGGAACACTTCCCTTTCCACCCCCAGCCCAGCCTGTGTCGGGCATGTACCCTGTTTCCCTGAAAATAAGACAGTGTCGTATTAATTTTTGCTCCCAACAATGCACTAGGTCTTATTTTCAGGGGATGTCTTATTTTTCCATGAAGAAGAATACGGTACACATTTATTGTTTATTGTTTTATTAAAAGAGACCTCACATTTCCTGTCTGTTCCGGCTGTGCTGTGGCCAATAGTGAGCTGCGTGGTAGCGCCCACTGCTACGGTCCAGAGTCCAGAGTTACTGTAGCTTCGGGGGGCCTTATTTTTGGGGGGATGCCTTATATTTCACCGAGAGGCAAAACTAAGTAGGTCTTATTTTCAGGGGATGTCTTACTTTCGGGGAAACAGGGTAGCAGATACACAGGACCACGGGTACTGAAAGTGGCCGTGAATTCTGCCCACCCATGCCCTTCTGATGCATCTAGTGTTTGGATGTACTTCCACCCAACGCCACCCCCTCCAGCCACAACTTCCTCCCCACAAAAGAGTGGTCAAGTCAACTCCAGCCCAGGAAGATCCTCTCCCTGCAAAGAAGGACTGTAATCAGGCCTGTCCCCAGAGGAACTTCTGGGTGGGTCCAAACCTCCCACCTTTCCAGTGCTAAACCGTTAAACTACCCAGGGCCTCCCAGCCCCGCTGTCCCAGCCCCAGTCCTCTAGAGAAGGTGCTCTCATCACGTCTCGCCGCCCTCTTAGCAAACCAATTACTTATCGCTCACCTAGTCCCATCTTAGGGCACCTGGCACATGACCTTGAGTCTTAGATCTATTCTGAGCCAGTCTTCCTTCCGTATCTTTGGGTGGTAAACATCTGGAAAAACAAGCCCGGAGGCGGGCTGTGTCTCTCAGTCCGCCATGCTCTGTGGGGCACTGTAGGATTGAGCAGAGTAGCAGACGACTGTCCATCTAGTCCATTGCGACGCTGAGCCACCCTACACGGCAGCGCAGCACTGCCCCTGGGGCTTTCCGAGACTGTACCGCTTTCCGGGAGCAGAAAGCCTCCTTTCTCCAGCTCAGAAAGGGCTGACCTTTCGGTTAGCAGCCTAACACATAACCCACTATGCCATCAGGGTTCCTCCAGGGTGCAGAGAGCCTATTTCCCCCACCCGCCCCAGAGCAGCGCAGAGCCGGGTGACTGCTGGGTTTGAACTGCCAGCCTTGGGCTTAGCGGTCCAATGTTTACGAAGGAAAGAGATGCAAACTTATCCCAACTTTACACCCGGGCACCAGGGTCCGGTAAACTCCCTGGAAGTTGGAACCACTAAGGGGTATCCCCTAGGCAGTTCCAGTATCTAGACAGGCGCTGCCAGGCCTCGGGCAGATTCTCCCGGAGGCCAGCTAGAGGCAGGGAGGCGGGCAAGCAGGGAGACCGCCTGCCAGACGCGCCGGAGACGCCAACCGAGGAGCGTCAGCGCGTCACATGATTCTCCGACCACGTGATCCCGAGGAATGGGGAGTGGGGCAGAGAGGTAGGGGGAGTCACTGGGGTTGGAAAGCAACACGG